GAATTACAGAGCTGGAGGGGACTCTATACATCATCGAATCCAGCCCCTGTCAAGAAGGCATAGTGGGGGATCAAACTCCCAACCTCTGGCTCTGCAGCCAGATACCTAAACCACTAACCTAAACACATAACAATATTTGAAAAAAAACATTTAAACACACTAAAAAAGCACCATAAAAAACCATATCCCCCCGCCCCCTGGACTAAAAGTCTGCCTGAAAAGGGAAGTCTTTGCTTGCTGGTGGAAGCACAAGAAGGAGGGGGCCAACCTGGCTTCCCAGGGGAATTCATTCTGCAACCTAGGAGCAGCCACTGAAAAGGCCCTGCCTGATCTCCTCTCCAAATGAGCCTCATATCTTTGTCGTCTTTGGTTTTGTCCCTTCAACCTTGTGTGAGTTTCCCCTAAAAGTATACAGTTAGAATTTGTCCTCAGAAGCCATCGTTTGTATTCATCATTAGAGGCACTCCTACCTTTTTTTTAATGGCCCCAGTGGGTCCATTTAAAAAAAAGTGTTGCATGCACCAAAAAAAAAAATCCCTTACTGACGGACATCTAAGTGTTTGTATTGCCTTGGTGAGGGGCACCAAACTCAAACCTGCCAGCACTGTTGTAAAATTACAAAAGTCATATTAGGAACTGACAATCCTGGCTTAAATTTCATCCCTAGGAAAAACTGCTGTAGGCCAATGGGTCCTGTCTCAGCAAACCTCCTCAGTTGTGGCAATATCTGTGACACACACACCCCTGAACATGTTACCATGGAGGTTATCCAATTGGAATCAGGCACCAAGAACCAAGATGGTGGAGTCCAAGGGAAGTCAAGTTGTTAAAAGTGCCACCCATCAAAACTAAAAATGGGTACGAACTGCCAAGCCTTGCCATGCCTCCTTTGGTCTCTGCCTCTAAGTGGGCACCTGCTAGAGGAGGTGCAGCTGGGAAGTGCAGAACACCTGTTCTGCTGAAGGACGAGCCAGCACAAACTTCTAGTTCGGCTCTGAAGTTCACCTCTTCAGTTTCAAAGAAGCTGAAAAATAAGACAGTATATCAAATCTGACACTACTCCAGCAAAGAAATTAAAACTGAATCAGAAACCACCAGTGCTGTTGCAACCTCCACAGCCTTTCTTAAAGGGATACAGTTATGAGATGTTTCCAAAGCTGCACCATGGTCTTAGCCCTCTCTATTCATCAGACATTATGGGCTGGATGTCAGGAGTAGACTCCATGCTGCATTTGGGAAAGTGGTCATTTCCTCTGTGTTGGCGTGGCATCCCAGCAGCCATTCGTGGACTTGTCTGTCACCCACATGTGTGTTCCACAGACATTATGATGAAGAACAGGTTACTTACCTGTAACTGTAGTCCTTGAAGTGGTCATCTGTAAATTCACACAATCCACCCAGTCTGCCATGCTACTGCTGTTAATTCATGGACAGAGGGGGACTCGGGGAACGGTGAGGTAACTGCTAGGCACAGCGACATGCACAGTGGACGGGCGGCTGCCCCAACGTTCTTTTGGCTTTGAGCTCTAGAATGTTCCATCGAGTTTCACACTGGCACAGAGACACCCACACGTGTAAATTCACCGATGACCACTCAAAGAACTACAGTTGCAGGCAAGTAACCTGTTCTTATAGCGGAGTTAAATGCTCCCTGTAATCAAATCTAGTCAGCAGGCTGGCTGCAGCATTGTGAACTGGCTGGAATTTCTGAATACTCTTCAAAGGCAGCCCCACACAAAGCATGTTGCAGTAATCTAGATGGGAAGTAGCTAACCCAGGTGTCACCACAGCCAGATAAGACATCCTAAGGAATGGGTGCAATTTGTGCACTATCATTAACTGTGCAAATGCGGTTCTAACCACCATTGAAATGTGTGCATACAGGCTCGGGGTTGAATCCAGGGCATGCTGAAGACACAAGTCTGACTTTTCAGGGGAAGTGTAACCCCACCTAGTACAGGCTGAATCCCTATTCCTCAATTTTTATTTTTGACTGATGAGGAGTACAGGGGTGGGGAGTGCCTGACCCCCCCCACCAACACATTACAATAAAATACTTTTTAAAAAAGCCATCCAATAAATATTAGTGTCTAGCATTTTTCAGATTCTCCAGGTAGCTGTGATTCCTGGTTTTGTAGACAGACCAGTTGCACGGAGAGACCTACAGTGAATACACCTGCACATCAATAGGCTTTTTTTTTCAGATAAACAGCTTGAACATGTTCCTTTTTTGTACAACACCTCACAGAGTGGTCGACCAGACCAGATGGGCGGGATATAAATCAAATAAATAAATAAATAAAGAATCATTCATCCAGTATCACCACTGACCATGACAGTGACATGGTTCAATGACTTGTAGTTTAATAGCCCAGTTTTTATAGTCCAACACTTCCTAATTATTTTCAGACTTTGATAGGAAACCATTCCATACAATCATGTAATATTTGCCAAGGGCTTTCCTGTCCTGCATTGTCACTATCAGACCTTCTCAATGGGTTTGAGTTTGTTGGTCTACGTTGTTTTCCGTATTTCAGCATCCTGGGTGGCTTGAAAGTACTTTAACGATCTGAAAGGAAAATACATCCCTTGCCTTTCTATGGAGTGACTTCCAGATATTTCCTTTTCTTGTTTTTCTTGTAATTATAATGCTTTGCGTTGTCTATGTGTCAATTTCAATTTTTTTAATTACAAAACTTAAATTTAAAACTTCAAGCGGACACATATAAATGGCTTGAAATCATGTTAACTATGTATTACCTTAATTCCTAGAGGGTTATGTCTTTTGTATATTAGTTCCTGGAAGCCACAGTGAGTGGCGTGTTCAGGAGACCTGAGTTCAAATCCTGGCTTAGCCACAGAAACCCATGGGATGTATGCAGGTGTGGGGCATCAGTAAACCACCCCTTGAACCTCTCATATACCTTGAAGATCCTGTTAGGCTCACCATAAGTTGGAAGTGACTTGATGCCACTTAGCAACAAGTGGGAGAATGCCTTTGTGCCCTGCTTTTGGACTTCCCACTGGCATCTGGTTGACCTCAATGGAAACAAAATGCTGGACGATGCATGCAAAATTGGCAGAATTGTCTTTAAAAGGTTTGCCTTTTGCATTTCTGTTTGTCATGCACTCTCTGAAAAACAGGGGACATGCCAGGAAAAAGGCTGGCAACCCTATTTCCCGGTTTGACGTAGCATGGTAGAGGGGCATACTTCATGCTTCCTTTCCAGCTCTCAACGACTCCACTTTGTTGCCAGAAACTCTTGTTTTGCCTCCAGGAAGGCATAAAGCTAGGAGAGGCTTTGGATTCCGGATCCACGTGGCTTGTCCCATTCCAAGGTTATGTCACAGAAAGTGGGGAGATTTCTTCTCCCAGCAAAGGAGAAGAGAATGTCCACGTCCAGAAATAGCTCTGCTTTCTGCCCCGGGAAGCTATTGATGAAGACCTGGGGGAAAGGGGCACCGAGTGTTTCCCACCCTGCCCCCATCTGTGAAAGCGAAGCCTCCCATCAAAGCTGAAGGGAGGATGGGCAGAGAAAGTTGCTTAGAATGGAAGATAAACTATTCTGGGCACATTTATGAGAAAGCCCTGGTGCAAGACACAACAAGTGCATTCCTGCCCGGCCACTGCCAGGCTCCCTGGGAACGGGCTGCTGTGGCTGGGAAGGTCCGCACCTTGACCAGCTATCTTTGCCCCCCCCCCAGCGCAGGTCTTACCATCAGACGGAGGCAGGACTAGTATGTTTCTCCTTCTGATGGCATCTCTTGCGGGCTCCTTTGGCCACTGAGCCATAACCTCTTGTCCCAGGCAGAGGCAAGCAACCAGAGTGGTTGACCTTGCATAGCATTTTATCAAGGGGCAAGGAAGCAAGCAGACATCTCGAAGGAAACCAGAATAGACTGAGTTTGGAACAGGATTTTTTTTTGGGGGGGGGATTGCAACTCCCAGAATTCTGGGAGATTCTGGGCATTGTGATCCAAAAAGATAACCTTTCCAAGCTTGATGAGCAGAGATTGGGCAATGGGTGAGCTACAATGAAGTTCTCTCTTAGGAAGTCTTTGATAATAACAATTGCACGCCATGGAGTCTGTTCCGACTTAATGGTGACCCTTTGCAGGGTTTTCTAGGTAGAGAATACTCAGAAGTGCTGTATTCTTCTCTCCTTTTGTGGGCATCCCGAAACAGTGCAGATTGCCCGAAGCAAGGCTGGGTGGGCTCTATTTGCAGGAGGCGCTGAAGGGATTTGAACCCCCATCCTCTGAACTCTGCAGTCACCTAAACCGCTGAGCAATCCAGCCTGCAGCAAAAAAAAAAAAATGTTTAAGCCACAGAAATATTCACAATTGATGGCTAAGAGTTTTTTTTCCCCTTTGGCCTTACCCTCGAGAACACAGCTTGGAAAAGTTACCCTCCGTCCAGACTACAGCTCCCACCATCCTGCCACCCACCAGTCTATGGGGTTCTGTAGTCCAGAGAAGAACTCAGGGTTTGTAAAGGACCAGCCTCCCCAAACCTATCGAGTCTCAGGCTGGGAATTCCCTGGGAGAAATCCTCCTCGGCGCAGCCCCTTCCTTCCTTCCAGCGAGCCTGCCGGGGCCGCCAGCTCCCGCCCGGGCCTGCAACGCGGGCGCAAGGCTCTGTTGTGTGTGCCGCGAAGCAGAAAGAATAGGCTGTGACATTCCCGTAGCTTAGAGACCGTTAGTCCCTTTCAGAGTCCCAGCTCCATTTGAATAAAAATCAGGCTCCAGCCCCCGCTTGCCCACACTGAAGAGGGGGGTGGGAAAGAGCTGGGTTATTTTTACCCGTTTAAGTTCGCACGGCCGGAGTTCTCACGCCGCCTGGACAAGGGGGGAAGTGGGACACCTTGGTGTGTGTGTGTGGTGGGAGCGGGCGTGGATGTGTGTGCGTGTAAGAGGACATTGACTCTTGCCTTTCCTCTTCAATCCCTGGATCCCAAATCCCTGGAAGCAGCAAAGGAAGCAACCTCCCCCCCCGGAGGGCTAGGGTAGCCCCAACCTTGAAGTGAGTATAAGGGCATCTGAGGGGAGAAGGCGACCAGAAGTTGCCAAAGTTTCTAATGGTTCCTTTTGGGGGGACTACAACTCCCAGAATCCCCAAGCCGGCTGACGCTCTGGCGGGAACAGCTAAAGGCGGCTCGCGGACTCTACCTCTGAGAGGATCGGGGTGGAAAAATATATATATTTCCCCCCCCGCAGAGCAAGTTAATCCCTAAAGGACTCTGTATTATCTGGCTCGAAAGGGATGTGTATGAAGCCGGGTTTTAGAGTGTGGTAGAGTTAGTGGCTGTTTGAAGGTCTGTGGTAGACCTTTTTTTTTTAAAAAAAAATAGTTCTTGAGATAGAATTATTAAGTTTATGCTATCCCATAATAACAAACCACTTAGGCTGGCTACTCTTCCCTCAAGTTCACAGGACTGGGCCTTGCTGTCCATCACACTCCAGCTCTCTCTTTTCACTTAACTTTTTTTCTTTTTTTGCACAGCCTGGTCACATCCATCTTTTTTCCTTTCCTTTACCGTCCAAGTTTATATTCGTTTTTATGTGATGCACTCACAGAAGGCATTATTCCATACATTACCCATCACTTCCCCTGAGCAAATAACCACCCCATGCGTATAACCACTGGGACTGATATTGCAACGCGTAATTCAGCCTTGCACGGAGACACAGAAAAATCACAAATCAAAAAACGGGGTTTGGGGGTGGGGTGGGAATAATAGGAGGGGAATATATGAAATTGGTGAGTTCTGCAAAACAGCTTTCACATTCCCTTACATATCTGTTAAATATTTCCAAGAATGTGGACTAAATACTCAAATATTTTCCGTTTGTCTATTAAGCTACTTTCTCTTACTCCTGTCTTTAATTTGTCCCTTTCCCCTTGTATACAGCCTTTAACCCTCATCTTTATCCTTTATGCATAAACGTCTTGTTAAATATCTCCTGTGACTACCCATCCACCCCACTAATTTACGCTGTCTTTGTAATAATTTAATAGATTTCATAATTTCTGCTTGATTTAGATAAAACCAGCCAAGGAGTAGACTTGCAAGTTTTCTTAGTTAGCTGATATTTGCTCCTTTCACAGATATTAATGGAAAGGGGGGCAGGGGGAGTCACACATTCTCTTTCTTTTTTCTTTTTTTCCCTAAATTGCTCTCCACGATTATTCTAATAGAAAAAAAATAGGAACTTGTAAGGGACTGCTGGGGTTGTGCATGGAGACATCCTATGCTGTATATTCTGTTTTGAAATGAGTGACAGAATTTTTGAGATACGGTTTTACTTTCTGAGAAGGTATAATGTGAAGATTTTTGTATGAAACAATATCCTGGATTAGAGAACAGTTCTTCTCATGTATACCATAGACATATAGAACATTCAAATCCAAGACAATGACTCGCGCTGAGCGGCGTTGCCATCTGCATGGGAGAGTCCATAGAAGACTTTTGTAACTTTTCAATTCCTGCTTGCCTTCTGATTTTTTTTCACTACTCGTCTTCTTGGATGGTATAACTAAGGTATCTGTGCTCAAGTAGCAATGGATATAGCATCTTACATCTGAGTACTGTATATTCACCATGTAGCTGTACAAAACTAAGTCATTTCAACTTTTAGGGCTATGGTCCTCATGCATATTTATTTGGTAGTAAATTCCGCTAAACAAGTCTGTTTCTGAATAAACAGATGTATGGTTGCTGTGTAAATTTCATAAATATCCCAGTTCTGTATGCTAATTAAACTATAACTGATGCATTTTATGATTTTAAAGCATAAAATGCATTTGTCTGGCATGTAATATTTAATCTGCCCTACTTTGTTGTTTTTAATCAGGATCTATTACTGTATTCTACTTAATTTTAATGGTTTTATTGTGGGACAGGTTTATATTTCTTTTGCTAAGGTGGACTTACTTACTTACTTACTTACTTACAGTACTTACTTACTTACTTACTTACTTACTTACTTACACCCCTCTGATCAGTGGTCAGATTTATCTTTCCTTATTCTTTTTAGAATTTTGTAAGCCATCTTGAGTGTTACCTGTTAATGGAAAGGCAGTGTATAAATGCAATAAATAAAAGTAAAAATAGTTTTGATAAGACAATGTCAAATGTATTTCAACTTCCTCTGAAATAAGTTATAGTTTTCGGAGGAGGTAGCCATGTTAGTCTGTGCAAGCATATCAGGCAAAATCCAAACAAACAAACAAACAAACAAAAACCCAAAACAAAACAAGACAAAAACATGTAGCACCTTAAAGACTAACTGTTATACTAAGCTTTCGTGGATGTGGACAAAGTGGAGATATCCACAAAAGCTTGCATTAAAATATAATAGTTACTCTTTAAGGTACCACATGTTTTTTTGTTTTGTTCTGTTTCTTTGGATTTTGGCTGATACTCTAATATAGTGCTCTTTAAACGGATCAAGAAGTTTCTCTCTTAAGATGTTGACATTTCTAGAGATTTGACTTCGTACTGCGTTCTAATGAACAAAGTCTCAGCCTTTCTTTCACCCTCCTCCAGCACCCTGAGGTATAACATCCCCAGTTTTTAAGGGGAGACAGGAGGAGGAATGGTGGGGGAGGAGGCTTTTACTGTGCTACAACCTACTTCTTTTTTAAATTCCAGGTTGCAGTTCTCCGTGTTGCCAATGGCACTGCTGTTCCACTTACTTCTTTGGGGTAAGTGTTGACTCTGTTATTCTTTGGGATTTGAGATAAACCCAATGACCATTTATTCTCTGGAAGCGTAAACCTTTAGATGTGGTTGCCTATCTTTCCATTCAGTCTATCATGAGCATACAGTACTGAACAGGAAAGAGAGTAGAGTTGTCAAATTCTTTACAATGATAGGATTCCTGCATTCTTGTTTGAGAGTTTTTGGCAGGTATACTTTCTTCTCCCATCATAGTTCTACGACATCTATAGTCCTGTCATCCTGTGCTCCGTATACAGTACTTGTAAGGTACTCAAACTTTCATTCATGGTGGTCAGTCTTTGCCATATAGCATGTCTAGGGCTATAGGAAAACACATAGGAATGCACACACATGGTTCCAAACAATCCTCTTCTTTAAACTTGGAAGGGAGCAGAGAAACTTGTTTCCACCCTCTTCCCCAGCTGTCTATATGAAATTGAGGCGGGGGAGTGGGTGGCGTGTGAGGCTATCCATGGGGACTGCACTGAAATACTGAAAGAGCACAGGATATGCACCCATTTTCTGTTTTATGTGTAATCGGCAGATTTAAGACTGAATTGTATGAGAGCATTGTCATCTAGAAGAGGAAACGTGGAAACTGCTAGAAATCTCTGCATACACAGCAGGAATTTTTCTTGTCTCACCAGTTTAGGTAATTGCAAAGCTAGAGGTTGGGAGTTCGATTCTTCAGGGCGCCTCCTGTACAGGGGCTAGACTCAGTGATCTATTGGGTCCCTTCCAGCTCTGGAGTTCCAATTTTATTCCAAGAAAACACTCAAGGCTTATCCAGAGGGCCAAATGCTCCACTCTAGCTGGCTGCAGTTAGTCCACGTCCTAGTTGGGACTTACCTGTATACACATCTGCATTGCAATGAAGAAGGCACATGTTCAAAAAACTGCTTGCTTCTGAAAGAAGACATGCAAACTTCTAGAAATTAATTTTGCTGGTGGAGCTTCTTTTCTGGGGCTGTTTTTTTTAATTAATGTAAAGTCATAATTGTTGGTTTCTGATGTGGAGGTTCTGATGCAGAAATGAACTTCACATTGAAAGCACCATAGCACTAATGTCTCCCTACATCTCCCCACCCCCAGAACACAATAAGCCAGCTTTTCATTTGGAGCCCAAAAAATACGGAAAAGCAGGAAAAATGCACTGATGGTATTGAATCAGTACCCTGCATTGTGTAGATGGCAGATTTAATACTGAAACTAATAACGCAGAACCAATACTTTCAGCACAGCTTTTGCTTAGTGTAGATGAGCCCTTAAATTTCAAGTTTAACTTACTTTGTTTTGAAATTGGATCATTTTCTGTATGAATTATGGGCCTGGAATACCTACTTGACCTCAGCTTAATTGATGGGTTAATTGTAATATTTAGTTTGGCTTTTACAACTTGGTCTTGTGTATGTTTCCTCAGAAGTAAATGCAATGGAAAGTCTCACCAATAAATATGTATAGGATTACAGTATAACCCTAGACAGAAAGAATATCTATACTCTAACACAGTGTAATCCTCCCTTCTTTTTTCTTCTGTAGGGTGGATGGGGTAGTTGGTTCAATGCTATTTGTGGAAGGCCCATAACTTATTAAGTCAGATCAGTCAGTTGATGAGTCAGAATGTGGAAAATCTGCAGCTACCTAGGAGTTGTAGTCTAAGAAAGTAACTTTCTAAGTCATGTTTTGATCTGAGAAAGTTCCAGGCTCAACTACTTAGAAAGATCAAGTAGCAAATGATGGGAAGGTGATCTGAGACACTGAGAACCACTGTTAGTTGCAACAGATGTCCTTGGGCTAGATGGACAAATGATCAGAACTGGTATAAGGCACAGTTTGTAGTAGTGAGTCCTGAAATGGCAGGAGTTTACCATGATAGACCCCACCCCCCTTGTTGCACTCCAGGAATATATACATCTAGCTTTTTTGTTATTCATACTAAATAGAGAGTGGTTTGACTTTTTCATCATAAAACACAGAAATCCCCAACCAAACAACCAACTGATAAACTAACAAACCATGATTAAAAGCCAACAAGGCTGTGATTGTGTGTGCAGGGGATTACTTGGGAGGATGATCATTACCCTTGGTGTTACCTACTTCAGGTTCCACATGCTTAATCTATCAAATGCACTGCCCAGTATTACCTTGGAAGTGGCCACGGCGTAAAGTTGAAAAGCATCTACTTGACTTGCTGTAGAAAAATTAGATATCTCCTTGTTTAAAGGAGTGGGGCATCCACTTATGGAAGGGGGCAGTGAGTGAGCCAACCACTTGAACAGAACAGACTGTGGCACGAGTGGTAGGACGGAAGGTGATTCTGCCTGCTGAACTTTGACAAAAGACATTTTAGCCAGCTGATATGCAACCTTGAGCTTTGAATTAGAAATACAAACAGTGTTCCCAAGGCATGTTGCTGTTCAAGCTGCTAGTATGAAGTAGGAACCACACTGGAAAAGAAGGGAAGACTTAGCCAGCAACATCTGCTGGATTATTCACATTACTCTCTCACTTCCTCTATACCAGAAGTCGAGTATACAAGACTCTAAAGGCGTTTATGGGCTGCAGTTTTTCTGAGTCCTTGGCAGATTTGTCGGTGGTGAGGGATGATGGGAGTTGTACTCCAGCAACATCTAGAAGGGTGCATGTTTCCTGTTCCTGATGTGTCCTGTCACATAAACACTAGTAACGCTTGAAAGCCTTGTCATCACCTTAATCACTTGCTAGATAGATCAAGGATCAGTTGCCCTGGTGCTCTGTAAAATAACAGCCCTACTCCTCTCTATATTTCCCATCCTCTATACCTGTGGTTCCCAACCTTGGGTTTCCAGCTGTTCTTTGGGATATAACTCCCAGAAATCCTGGCCAGCACAGGTAGTGGCAAAGGCTTCTGGGAATTTCAGTTCAAGAACATCTGCGGATACAAGGTTGGGAATCAGTTCTCTATGCCACCAATAAACCAGGTTCCAATGTTGTGCTGTTTCATGACCTCATCCCAATCAAACTAGAAGACTCTCTTTCTGGGAAAGGCAGGTAGCGATTGGGATAGGGAGTCAAAAACCCAATTGGTTGCTGTTAACACTGTGTGAGAAATAAATGCATTTACCTTTCCAAATTATAGGCAATAGACTTCTGGTCTTGCCAGCAGCTTGAAAAGTATTCTTCTGGAAAGACTAGTCCCTGCGTATATGTCTATAAACAGAAATTATATAAGTGTGCTAATGGTTGTTGTGGGTTTTTCGGGCTCTTTGACCGTGTTCTGAAGGTTGTTCTTCCTAACATTTCGTCAGTCTCTGTGGCCGGCATCTTCAGAGGACGGTACTCTGTGCTCTGGTCTGTCCGAGTGCTGTCCTCTGAAGATGCCCACGGCCACAGAGACTGGCGAAACGTTAGAAAGAACAACCTTCAGAACACGGCCAAAGAGCCCGGAAAACTCACAACAACCATTAGATCCCAGCCGTGAATCTAATACATTATATAAGTGTTCATTTGAATGCAACCACACATAGACCTTTTTTTAAAAAAGTGTGGATAAGTATTAACGTTGTCAGGGGCACTGTATACTTGCAGGACTATAAATTAGTCCACATTTTAAAGAAGATGTTGTGCACCATCCAAGGCATGAATGAATCATGGGTTGTGAGTCACTTTCCATGACAACGACTACTCACTTTTGCCCACCTCTGCTCAGATTGTTTGCAGGCATATACCACGTCTTATAGCTGGCTGGATAGCTCAGTGCGTTGGTATCCATCTGCAGGGCCAGAGGTCAGTCGTTTGATTTTCTCATTGTGCCTCTGGTGAGAAAAGCCAGCCTGTGTAGCTCTGGGCAACCTGCACAGTCCTAGAGTGTTCCGAAAAGAAGGGAATGGTAAACCATTTTTGAATACTCTGCACCTATGAAACCCTGGAAGAGGTTTCCATAAGTCATAATCAACTTGAGAGCATCTAATTATTATAGTTACTGTGTCTATCTCTGCTAATGTCTTGGAAGAGGTAGTCTGTTAGTCTGCGCAAAGCATATCAGGCAAAATGGAAAGGAACAAAACAAAGCAAAACAAAAAACATGTGGCACCTTAAAGACTCACTATTATATTTTAAGGTGAGCTTACGACGCACAGCTCAGACACTGGCCAAAATCTTGTTGGTTGATTACACCAGTGTAACCACAGTGGCATATTGCCACTAGTCATGTAAGCTTACGATGCACAGCTCAGACACTGGCCAAAATCTTGGTTGATTACACCAGCGTAACCACAGTGGCATATTGCCACTAGTCACTGAGTCATGTGAATTGGTGCATGACAAGGGATATAGTGAGGGACACAACTCATTAACTTGCTACATTTTACCATTGCTTTTTGGATAAGATAGGATTCAGTGGAATCCAAAGTGGCAGTGGTGGGTGGAAGCTGAGCAAACAGAGGAAAGTCATTTTGAGTGGAAAAAAAAATCTTCAGGTACAGGAACTTTGCAAAGATGAATTAAAAAATGCAGCTGCATTTTTCTGCCTTGTGTATGTGACCTGTAGTAATGTATTTCCTATGTGGCAACATATAGTTAACCAGAGAAATTTGGGAACTTTAAAAAAGTGGTTTGCCACATTAAAGAAAAGCTTATAAAAATGGTTTGTTGTTTAATTGTTAAGTCGTGCCCGACTCTTCGTGACCCCATGGACCAGAGCACACCAGGCCCTCCTGTCTTCCACTGCCTCCCAGAGTTGGGTCAAATTCATGTTGGTCACTTCGATGACACTGTCCAACCATCTTGTCCTTTGTCGTTCCCTTTTCCTCTTGCCTTCACTCTTTCCCAACATCAGGGTCTTTTCCAGGGAGTCTTCTCATCAGATGGCCAAAGTATTGGAGCCTCAGCTTCAGGATCTGTCTTTCCAGTGAGGACTCAGGGCTTATTTCCTTCAGAATGGATAGCTTTGTTCTCCTTGCAGTCCAGGAGACTCTCAAGAGTCTCCTCCAGCACCACAACTCAA